GGTAAATATATATATATAATGAGATGCCATGATGCCACATGAGTTTACTGGGTACTGCAGATTGATGGACAACAATAGAATCATGCAGTGGGTCCAGGGCTGCAAGAGGGCCCATGAATGAATGCCACTTCTCCCTCACTTTCCCCCCAACCAAACGGTCAAATTTCACTTTGGCAGAAGGAAGGAGAGAGAGAGAGAGAGATAGATATAAAGCTGACATCTTTCCAAGCATCCTGAGCACAAGTAAGGTATGTTTCCAATACAAGAAATAATGATAGCCGGTCAGATACCCCATCAGCATATGCAGCAAGCATCATACTTAGTTGTCATAACAATTGCAGCGCAAATGGGAAAGTGTTGTTTCATTATTTCAGCTCTGCTCTCTCTCCTCTCTCTCCTCTCTCTCTCTCATGAATGAATGAATGAATGAATGAGCGAAAATGAGTTTGGTTGTATTTATGTATATTGTTTGTTATGTTGACAGAGACGAATGGAAGTGAGAAATATTCAAGTAGGGTTGGTTTTATATGTGTTGTTGGGGTGATGAATGAGATTCCCGAAAAGGAAAAACAAAAGCTGTAAAGATAGAGAAAGAGAGTAGACAGATTCTTCATAATGTGAGAGTTTAAAAGGGTGGAGATCACATGTAGAATATAACGCCAACTTTAAAAACAAATAAAGAAAAATACACTATATATATATATATATATATCCACAAGTCATGGTGAAAAAAACTATTTGCCCCTTAAAAGCTGGTGAAGCACAAACAAAACACACATGATTCCCCATGTGTATATATATATATCTTCTTCTTCTTTTTTTCTAATTTATCATGATAGCATAGCATGCCTCGAGTAATCTTGGCCGTCCGATTTAGTATCTTTTTGTTGCAAGAAAGCAATCAAAATGTAGTTTTTTTTTTGTTTTCTACTTTTTATTACTTTTTGATGTATGCTTTTTAGATTTCGGTAGTGGTTAAACCAAAGTATGGTCGATGCAGTTGGGTAATGGGTTGATGTGGGCAATAATAGAGAGCCAGAATGAAAGAGAAAGGTGAGGCAAGGTTAAGAAGAGGGAATCACTCTCTATGCTCTACTTTTTTTGTTTGTTTTCCATCTACCATCTCCTTTGGTAGTGGCATCTTTCTCCATCTCTTTCATGAAGTTTCGAAGCAATTGTGTATCATCCAATTCCAGGCTAATCAGTTACTACATCAAGAATAGATATCCAAAAATATAATGTTCTATTCTTAAATAACCTTGTATTCCTCTCAATAACTCTATTATACGAGCAAATATTAGAGAAGAGGAGAATCGAACACTATTTTAGGGTTAAGAATAAGTATTTTAATAACCAATTGAGTTATAAGTCGGTTTTCTTCATCTCGATAAAAATAACAAAACCAAAACTATGTTCATGAATTTGTGGTCCAACAATTTTATAAGTATACTCTAGTGGTTGTTTGTTGAGCAACTTGAAATGCCAAAGGAAACTTGGAAAGATCGAAGATGATATGCTCAAAATTATTATTAATGCCTTGCGAGTCTCTGTATGTCTGTACGGCCTCTGATGTCTCATGCAAAATTACATCCTACGAAAGAGGGTTATATTATTAGTTTAATAATCTTACCCATGTGGGGTGTGTGTGTGTGAAACTTAAGAGACTGACTAAACAAGGTTAGTGGTTAATAATGCAGTCATTAAAAATAAAATAAAAAAACAAGAGATAAAAAAAGTGGTTAATAATGTCAGGTTATGCCTCCTCAAATCGTCCGCAAATGAGATTTGGTAGGATCAACTTGCGGAACCCTAGTTGGCCACTGAATTAATTAACCTTAATGGCAAAGCTTTTGCTCACTAATTAAATGACAGATCTGTTTGTCATTTTGTCTCCTTGATTGAAGCTATACTTTTCCCACCCCCATCGCATAATTTTTTAAATAAAAATTAAAAAAAAACCAGTGGCTTAATGGGAATACATTTTGCCTTGAGAATATCGTAGTTATTTTACAATTGTGGGTGGCTATAATGAATGCAATTGTCACCCCATTGTCCTTATGCACTCAAATAAAATAATTTCAACATGTTTATTTAATTTATTGGAAAGGTACGATGATAATATCGAATTAATAACAAGAGAGAGATTAGGGCACTAAACAATGCATGTGGAGACAAATTAAGTATTTTGGAGGATTAATTCAATGACCACCCAACACAAACTATATAATATACGGATTTGGAATATATATTTTTAATTTCCTAGCTATAGCTAGCTAGGTCAAGCATGCTAGGAGTTTGTAACATTTATTTTTCAATGGCTTAGAAGGAAGGTGGCAATATCTAGGTGATGTTGGTGGGTGCATTTTGGAGGAAGAGTGGGGGGTGTGAGACAGATTGGGAATCAAAAGCCAGCAATGTTTATCTTCTTTTGCAAAAATACATTGTCGTGTCATATGACGAGCGATATGTATTATTTTACAGTGTATTACGTATTACAGTATTTAAATTATAAGTTAAAAACTTATAACACGGAATATGTTTTAACTTGACAGAACACGTCACTCATTATACGGCGTACGTGTTAAAATATATTACACGAGAAATTATCAAATAATTTTAGATTGAGAATGTAGTAATATAACATTGTTTGGAAACTTTTATTTTGATCTTCAGCTTTTCTTTAGGGTCAACATCGTGACCAGCAACGAATTAAATTGTATCCTTAGCCCAATCTTAGCAGCAAAGTTTTATTTTTCTAATTTACAATTATATGTGGAAAATGAAACCCAAGCAATCTCAAGGAAAGTGTGACCCGGATAAGTCTGACATTGCATCAAACTTTATCCACAGTTTTCTCTTGGACACACCACGCTTCAACATAAATATACTAATATCAGAACGTGAACTTTGAAAATTATAAATTAGTTGGGATTGATTGGCATGCTGTCAAATTTAGATTTGGTCAAGGTGCATGCATCAAGTGGACGGAAAATTCATCTGCAAGAAATTAGGCTCCAAATATGGGAAGCCATCAAAACGACATGAAAAAAGAGACTTACTATATTCCATCTAAGAAACGGAAATATTTCATTGACTTTATATATTTTCTTTAAGTTTGAGATAAGCTCAATTTTTGTTTTTGGGTCAAGGAATAAATACAAGAATCAATTATTACCTTTCACTCACCTCAGAATAGTGGTTTGTAGCAATTGTTATTGAATTCGAATTTTAACATCCGTACAATGTGTGAGTGTGTGAGTTTAGTACATCATCGTCCCGCTCGACAAGGAAATGTCATAAATTTGTAGCAAGCTAGGAACAATGAACACCAATAATGCTTGTCCTGAAACAGCTGAGAGGTCAATAATAATGAGAGTTCCAAAACTAGAGACTATGTTTTCAAGAAAGTACTCAATAAAACGATGAATTTTCAACTTGATGTGGCACCACAAAATATTGAATATCTTTTAAGTATTTTTATTGGTTTTCGAATAATTATATGATTTATTCAAAATTTGAAATCTGAAGTTTTAGATTGATTTATGATTTAATTAGGCAGCCTGATTATAAGAAACTACCACCGCAGCTTGAATATATATCATCCAAGTGTGCCCTATAGAGACGTAAACATTATGATTTATAGATATCTGCAATGCAAGGCTTTATGTGAAGTCTATCTTATCGTCTGTGCATGTACGTAGACATATTAAAAATTACATGAAATTCTATAATACCGTATATTGCAAAGTAAATCTAACAATGATATATTTCATATCGTAATTGTTAGAAATAAACGTCGTTTATGCATGCATATATATGTGATTGTTAACTAAAATACTACGACACATCCACACGCGTGTGACAATACACGTATGCATTGAAACATAGATGCGCCTGCGTCGATTTAATTTCTTGCAAATAAATTAACAATTAACAATTATCCATGCGCACGTAAAAAAAAATTAAAATGAACTAGGAGGTCGCAGGGGAAGTGACTGTGGAGCAGCAAAACACTTTTTCTTTTCTTTTCTTGTTTTGGTAGATGAGTGCAATAAAAAGGGGGCTGAGGAGGCCAGGTGGCAGAAACAGTCCAAAGCTAAACCAAACAAAACGAAACGTATCCATGCGATGCGCATGAAGAGCAGCGTAGGCTGTAGCTCTCGCCAAAAGTGAACAACCTGCCAAATGGACCAGCCTCCACAAGGGTACCACCGTACTCATCATCATCAACACCAACCCCAACGGCCATTAATATTTATTATTATTAAAATAAATAAAAATAATTATTCCTTTTTTATTATTACACGTTATTTTATTTTTAACTTTGTGTTTTGACAAAAGTCCGCCCCTCGGTGGTCCCCACAAGTCCACGCTGGCCCCTTCGCACGTGTTCGGAGTGGATCAGCCTTTGTCGTGTTCACTGCCCACCCGGCCCCACACGTGCAGCAGCAGTAGCAGCAGTTGCTGTTGCGAATTCACTGAATTTATGAGAAAAGCCCTCCGTAGGGGTGATTTGCCGTTTGGATTGTAGCCGTGCCTACGTGGCGGCCCCTGGCAGGCCCCAGTCGGCAAACTGCTGCGTGGCAGATGCCCACAATGTCAGTCTTCATCACTCTGTTTCTCTCTCCTCCTTTTTTTCTTTTCGTTTAATTAATCGAAGTAAATAGTAATTAAATATTTTCCCAGGGAACAAAGGAAAAAACAGATACGGTAAAAGAGTCCGCGCTCGTGTTACGGATATGCCCCTGGGGAATTGCTGGAATTACGGACTGACCGGATATCTGTTACGGTTTTGGTTACAAATTATGAGTTAAGTAAAACAAGTAAAATACGGAAGGGTCTTTCTGGTAACCGTATCCCAGAATAGACAAAACGGTCAAAACCCCATCTCTTTCTCTCTTTTCCCTCCACCTTTTATCTTTACTCTCTCTCTCTAAACTTTTTATTATTATTAATAATTATTTTCTCTCTCTAAACCAAACCAAACCCTAAATAAACCCCACCATACAGCCTTGCCACCTCTACTGCATGCCCTTTTGTTCATTTCCTCCTCACACTTGTTTTTTTTTCTCTCTCTCTCTCTCTCCCTCCTCCTTCCTATCTTCCCCTCTCTTAAAAAGCACCAAAAACCAATAAAACCAAGCCCAAACAAGAACCACTACCAAACTATAACGCATATATAAAATATACACATATCGACACTGCAAATTTCATAGGCATCAACCGAGACAGAGAAAGAGAGAGCCCACAAAACGCTACACAGAAAGAAAAGCAGAACAGAAAAGAAAAACGCCTGCTCTGCTCTGCTCTGCTTTCCTTCCTTCCTTTTGCTCATCATCAATCAATCCATGGCTGTTGAAGCTCGGCATCTCAATCTCTTCCCTTCCCAGCTCATACCCAACAGGTATGTACTCGTCTTCTTCATCTTTATCTCTGGATATGGGCATATGGGTTTGCTGAGATTCGTGTTTTGGTGCATTAAATTGATGGGGTTGGTGCGATTTTTACAGGGAAATGATGAACCCAATACAAGGAAACACAAATCTCTACAGTGCCCAGATTGGGTACGGGGTGCCATTATCAACTGGAGGGGTGGCTACGGAGGCTCTGCTGCCGACCTACAACTCAGGGATCACGGATTCGATAATGCCTCCGAAGACCTCAACCACCGCAGCCATGAAATCCGATAGCGGCCTCACCTACAACGTTCCGATTAGTCTACCAAGAAAGCGGTCCAGAGACTCCATTAACAACAACATAAGCCCTCCCTTCTCATACCCAACTGCTCCGGCTAATTACAAGAACTCATGCGGGCCTTTCTCTTTTCTCGGCGAGGACATTTCTCTGCGCATACAGCAAGAGCAATTCGACATCGACCGTCTCATTTCTCAACATGTACGTACCAAATACAGAGCAAAGAAAACTATGCGATTTGGTGTCTTTTTTTCTTGATGGGTATTTTCATTTGTCATTTTATTGATTTGGGTTTTTCTTGATTTGGGATTTTGAAGATGGAGAAGGTGAGATTGGAGGTCGAAGAGAAGAGGAAGAGGCAAGCGAGGAGAATAATGGAGGCCATAGAGGTTGGGATGGCGAAGAGGCTCAGAGCCAAAGAGGAAGAGATTGAGAAAATCGGGAAACTGAATTGGGCTTTGGAAGAGAAGGTCAAGTCTCTGTGCCTCGAGAATCAAATATGGCGCGACCTGGCTCAGACCAACGAGGCCACCGCCAATGCTCTCCGCACCAACTTAGAACAGGTCCTGGCTCATCATCAGGTCAAGGAAGAACACCAAAACGACGCCGCTGCGCTCATGGACGACGCGCAGTCGTGCTGCGGAAGCTGCGGCGGAGACGAGGATCAAAACGACTGCGTCGTGGGTTTAGACGGGTGGCGCACGGTGAAGGGTACTACTAGTACTACTGAGGGTCACCGCGGGGAGGAAGGTACAAGCGGGCGATGTGGGTCGAGTACAAGTAGGTGGTGCAGGAATTGCGGGAAGGAAGAGGCCTGCGTTTTGGTTTTGCCGTGTAGGCACCTTTGCTTGTGTACGGTCTGCGGATCATCGCTCCACACTTGCCCCATCTGTAAATCCACCAAGAACGCTAGTGTGCATGTGAACATGGCTTAGATCAATTTTCACCAACAAAAAAAAAAAAAAGACAAGAAAAACAGGAATTTTCATGAATAGAAATTTGTTTCATCCCAATTTTGTCTAAGTTTCTTCTTTTTTTTTAAAATTTTCTTTTTCTTGTAAGTAACTAATTTCTTTTTTAATTATGCCTTTTGGGTTCATAGGGTGGGTTTCAAATGCTTGCATTAAGGCAAAGTTACCGCACTTGGAATTCAATTACTGTATATCAATTGCCAATTAAAGAGGAAAGAAACCACCAACAGATTTGAACGGGAAAGGAGTAGGGTGAATTCGAATACCGGAACTTCTCCGATCCAAAGATAACTGCTTGTAATCACATGGATTACAATGCTCTGTAATACTAATTCAATTAGTCCATTATTTGGCTTTTTTGTGTTTATAAATTGGTCTCTAATTAAATTAGCCATTTATTCTGTGCTAAAATTAGTTCAGGATAGAAAAATGGATAACGCGGCGCATGTTAGCACGGGAGCAGCGCAGGTTAGCGGGCGGTTGTTCAGAGTTTAAGGCTGAAAGGCGGGATGTGTGTGTGTACGTATTTATAATATAGTGGTGGGGACCGATGACGGGCGACGTGATCTGTATTTGTTTTCTGGGGGGGTGGGTCCCACGGCGCATCTAACCTCTCTGCTGCTTGCTGCTGTTCCTAGTCTCTCTTTCTAGACCAACTAGGTAACACGAACTTTGAACCAAAAAAGAAAAGGTAACACGAACGGTGGAGCGTTTCGTACACGCGTGAGCTTAGAAGCGTGGGGTCAACGAAAGAGAGAGAAAGCGACAGGTGTGAGGCAAAAGCTGACACGTCGGACGCGCGCGCAAATGTTGCTGTGGCTCAGCAGCTGAGCAGCAGCAGCAGCACTCATCGCTGGCTGCAAACGGCCACTATTTCTGAAAAAGTTAAAATATAAATAAATAAATAATGAAAAAAGGTGATATAAGTAAATAAATAAAAATAAAAAATCAGGGAAAAGGACGAGAAGGTCCAAGACTGGTGGCAACATCACTGCAGCACTGGCAGTCTCTCTCTCTCTTTCCCACCAATTACTATAACCATTGGCAATATATTTGTTGCGTAACCGAGACGACGACGTATTAGCAGAAATATCGTGGACAATGGGGCACAACAATAAAAACTGTTGGGATTCCCCACGCCTGGTGGGGTGGTGGTTGGGCGAGGCGTGTCCTACGCACGTTACTATGCACCTCTCTTTGGTCGCTTTCAAATGGGTACAATTATATATATCAACGCAATCACAAATGCCCTTTATTATTTTACTATTTTATTTTTTGATATTTTTACCTAGGAATTTTAGGGTAGGGGTAAAGAAGAAGAAAGGTTGGTGGTTTGAAGGTGGCCTGCCTTAGTTTGGAAGGTGAAGCAATGAAGGGAAATGAATGAGGTTTGTTCTGAATTTGGCAATGCAAGGCAATCGGATTTTTGGGTGAATTTCTAAATTTTGTGTAAATTTGGTACAAATCGTCCTTCCCCGGCACAGTAGATGTTACAACATTACAAAAAAAAAATGGTAGTAACGTCAAGTCTAGTTCTATATAGCTCAATGAGGTGATGGATTCGATTTGATTTGATTCGAGTAATGTCTTCAAGCGAATTTATCTCATGTGTTATATTGTCATACATTTTACAGTGTGAAAATTAGTCACGCGGGACATAGACAACTGACTTTAGAAATATGGTTCGTGATATAACATGTCTAGACATTTTGGAAAAGTAATGGAAAATATGAGGGTGTATTTGGAGGAACGTGAGGGGCACGTGATGTGTGGTCGTGTGTTTCCTTTTCAAGATGTGGGGAAAATAAAGTCAAATGATAAGATAAGCAGTGTGGTGTGGTGATTCTCATCTGGGCATCTTGGGATGAATAAATTTGTGAATTCATTCTCACTCACCAGTCACCGCCCTTTGTGGGACTTGGAAGTTATCTTCCCATTATTTAATTAATCACAAATATTTATATCAAACAGAAAATAAAAAATAAAAAAAGTGGGGCTTTGATTGATAACTGGGGTCCTACCAGATAAAAGAATCAAAATCAAAATCAAAGTAAGCAATTACGTATTCAATGGAAAAATATATGCACTACGCAGCCTTACATTGAATTCAAATAATTAATTTTTATTTATTTATATAAATTTAGGGCTAATTTAATCAAAATCTATCACGAGCTTGACCTTAATTGGAATCCCAAATCCTTTTTGTTTTCTTTTTTGTTTTTTACAATTTGACTATGAGTTACCATATTTTCTGAAAATGACTTTTCTGTTTCTTTTTCGATAATGACATTTTGTACGTCGAAGACAATGTGATGTGCATTATTTATTTATTTACGGCTATTCGCACTCGAAAAAAGATTTATAATAAAAAAGAAATTGGAAATCTTGGCTAAATCAAAGGCGTAAACGACATTTGGCCAAAACGATAAGCTAAAGAAAGGGTTAATTGGTAACAATAATGCCGTCGACCTATGGACAATAATTTTCTCTATATTTTTTGTCTTCGGGGAAGAGGAGAAAACAAAAAAGAAGACAAGTTTAAAATAGACATTGCATAGCTTTTCTTTTTCTTTATTATTTTCCTTATGCGGCCATTATATAATATCTTCTTGTTCTTTGAGTACTAAAGGCAATAGACTTACAAAATGAATAATTTGGGGTAGTTGACGGAATGCTACAAGATATACGTAGTCATAATCAAGTCTATGACTATTTGGTTTATTCGTGTCTAGTTTTAGACTTCATTAGAGGAGATTCTGAGTTCAAATCTCGTGTGTACAGTAGTTATTAAATAAAATAAAGTAACCCTATTTAAAATAGTAAGTTCGAATAATCAACTACTAATAAAAGAGGATGGGAGGCCTAGATTGTAGGTGATTGATGGAATACCTATATGATGGGCAAACACATTAATTTACTTTGGTGTTCTTTTTTCAAAAGATACACCCAATAATAAGTTTAAAGTGACCGATTACAATTTTATTTGCTTCTTTTTTTTTATTCGTTTTAATGATACCCAAATCTATGGAGTGTAAGTAAAATAGCGAAAGTAAGTACAGATTTTTCGGGTAAAAGTAAAGACTTTTGTTGTACGTGTGGGTGAAGGTAGTTCTCAACTAAAGGTATAAGTTTTCCTTGTATTTGTATTTTTTTGAAGTCAACTCATAATTAATTTTTTTTCTTTTTGTCAAACTGTTGGAAATTTGGAATTCATTCGCTTCCTCTGAGTTCAAATCTCGTGTGTACAGTAGTTATTAAATAAAATAAAGTAACCCTATTTAAAATAGTAAGTTCGAATAATCAACGACTAATAAAAGAGGATGGGAGGCCTAGATTGTAGGTGATTGATGGAATACCTCTATGATGGGCAAACACATTAATTTACTTTGGTGTTCTTTTTTCAAAAGATACACCCAATAATAAGTTTAAAGTGACCGATTACAATTTTATTTGCTTCTTTTTTTTTATTCGTTTTAATGATACCCAAATCTATGGAGTGTAAGTAAAATAGCAAAAGTAAGTAAAGATTTTTCGGGTAAAAGTAAAGACTTTTGTTGTACGTGTGGGTGAAGGTACTTCTCAACTAAAGGTATAAGTTTTCCTTGTATTTGTATTTTTTTGAAGTCAACTCATAATTAATTTTTTTAATTTTTGTCAAACTGTTGGAAATTTGGAATTCATTCACTTCCAATAAATGTCTATGATCCGGTGCTAAAGGTCAAAAGATTCAAGCATTAGGACATGATTCTAGGGCTAATGATTTAGGTTCATGGGTTATGATCTAAGTTTGGAGCAAGTGCCTAGAGCTTAGTGTTATAGGCTTGAGGCCTAGGGTTAAGGGTTTGAGATGCAAGTTTAGGGCTCTTAGCCTAGGTTTAGCGCAATGGCGGAACCAGGAATTTTTCAACGGGTGGATTAGCTAAAGTTATTAGCTTAAAATCTAATGATCATGTTTTTTCTTTACCTAGGCTATAGCCCAGCGTAGCCCATAGGCTAGTTTCGCCAGTTGTTTAGCATCCAAGGTCTAGGGTCAACCGGTCATGTTTCAATGCTCGAGATATGTGACATTGTGATTTTAATAGTTCCAAGTTATAATGTTCTTTGTCACCAAGATTCGAGTTAAGGGATTTCGAATTTCGCTTTCAAGATTTATTGGTAGGACTTGATTTTCGGGGTTTGGTGTAAAATTGTTTACGTACAATCTTACTACAAAAACCCTGTAACACGTGTTATGTTTCAAATAAAAAGTATCTTCTTATCGCAACAACTCATGAATTCAATTTCAACCCTAAAATATTTGCCGTCAATTTAGGAATGAAAACTTGATACGTCTCAAAATTGGGAAGACTTACATATATCATCAACTTAGGCATCATCTCCAATAATGTTAGTGACCTTCGCACTTAATTTTTTTCAGAATCACGCAGGCTGTTCCTTTTCTCCAACACTTATTATTATTATTATTATTAATAGCAATCACCTTCATTTTGGTGATTGGGTAAGGCAGTATATTATATAATATTAAAATATCAAAAATATCAAAAATAAAATAAATATAAAGTTATGATAAGCTCCAAGAATAATAATGGTGAGGCCATATTAAAAGGTGGCCAAATTGTTCAGATGTCTTATTATTTTCTATCCCATTCAAAGCAACCAAATCAAACTTCAAATTTGTCCTACTAATGGGCCAATTAGAAACCATATGTCCTATTTGAGGGGCACCATAATAAAAAAATTATTTTTTTTTATAAAAGTTTTGGGTCCCACAAAAAAAAAACAGATGCAAACAGCCAAAATTAGCATTTAATGAGGAGGGTAACAAAAGACATCACAAAATAATGGGAGATTTTGTTTGTAGGATTGGATCTTTGGGCCCACAAATGGGCCCCCACCAAGATCAGGACCCTCTGTCCCTTTATGACCAGCATGCCATCTACAACACGCGAATCTGATTCCCACCCTCCCTTTCCTTCTTTCTATAAATTTAAATTAATCTGTCTTAATCTCGCTTAATTAATCCATTAAGTGTTGATGATTTAGATTAGTTGG